CAGAAGGCGTTGCAAGCGTGTAACCGGATCAGGCCGCGCTACGTGGAAGACCCACAGCCGGACTCGCCGACGGAGAAGCAGCCGGATGACAACATGGGCTACTATGCAGCCAAAGCCGGCGGCTCAGCACCCTCCTCACAGGCTGGCCCCTAGGGCGGATACATTAAGCTGGCCCCTGGAGTAGTGCAGTTCGAGAGGCAACTTGGAGCACCACTGTATGGGCTGATGAGATGAACGCCTAGCAGCAGTCGTTCCCCAAGTATGGCAAGGAGCCACTTGGTCCCACGATGGAAAACTCTGCTACTGGAAGATTGGCAGGGTGTTTGGTTGGGCAGAATCAAGTACACACGCCGGGTCTCCACAGGCTCGAGTTATTCAGGTGCCATTGCTGATTGGCAGTGTTCAGTGCAGATCCCGGCGGAGCATGCAGACAAGTTGATGGAGTGCTGGAAAAAGTTGTGGTGTCAGCAGCTGCGTACACAGGTCTCACAGGCAGATGAGGCCATTGAGAATGCAGCAGCTTCCACAGCAACCAATTACATGGATGCAAAGCGACCGAGTCGGTTCTTGACAAAAGCAATCCTCACATACTCCACAGGAGAAGAGCAGGCAATTCAGAATTGGGTGGCAAGATTCAAGTATGAATTCCCATGGCCAGTGGAGTTTGAGAAGCTGGATGCCTCTCATCCAGACAGATTGCGTTTCAAGAACCTCAGAAACACTGAGGAGTTGATGCAGGCCATGGCAGCTGGCTCAAAGGAAAGCGCAGTCACAGAAGGTGACGCCCTCCACACAGTGGCAGAGACTGGAATTGCAGAAGCAAAATCTGCTCCACCCCTCACATTCCACAAGAGGGTTCACATGATCTTTCCAGCAAGCCCTCCAATTGGGAGGATGAAGATGACTCAGAGTTGCTCAGAGATCTTTTCTGGCCTTTTTCCATCACAGGAGGCCTTGGATGCAGCTGTCGCAGATCACAGGGCATGGATCCACAGAAGTACACTCTTGAAGAGCGGGCAGAGTTTGTCAAGGACAAGAAGAAGAAAGAGAACAAGCAGCTCCGCCCCTCGCTGTATGAAAGTGGCAGGCGCATCTTCCAGAAGCAGCAGTGTAGTTTTGCGACGCCAACTTTTTCACAGTTCTCACCTGCTCCTCGCAGCAAACCTGAGGATGGACATTTGCAGGAGTGCCAAAATTTGTTGCGCGCAGGCACACCTCCCATAGGTGAGCTGGGTGTGCTGAGCCATTTAGACAGTTTTGTACCTAGTGTTCTTCACAGTTCCTTAAGCTCGTGTGCATCTCTAGCTGTCTAAGTGTTCCTTTACGAAATGCCCACCGCTCAACATCACACAAAACATTCACAGAGCTCCCCGCAACCTACCGCGCTACCCAAGTCCCAATTTAAGCGGAAGCATAGATCACAGGATGCCAGAAGACAGAGACAACAACACAGGATTCAGAGGTGGGCATCCGCCAGAAGAGCATACCGTGGCTGGATCCAACAACTCCCCTCCCCGCGCCCCATCTGTGGTAAGGGCTCCACAAATGAGGTCCACCATCCAAAGCCTTCACACAGCGCCGCGCTGCAGACCCACCCACAGGGCGGAGGACCGCTATATAATTCATTGACTTCCAAGAAGCGATCCTTTATTTCACGAGTGAATTTCAGGAGAAGATTGCAGTTTTTGAAGTTCAAGACACAAGTTTCACAGAACAACAAGACGCCCAGCCACCTTAGACAACGTCCACACCATACACCGTCCTCACAGACAACACCCACAGCTCCACCGTCCACACAGCCGCGCAATTCACCGGAGGAGGCGCACCGCCATAAGCAGAGACAAGGAAATGGCGGTGGAAGCAGAATGCAGTGGCAGCAGCAGCACGATTTGAAACAAAGACAACACACCAGAGCTCGTTGGTTCAAGACACACATTCAACAACCTATCACACATGGTAGATTGAAGCATGACATGCAGGTAGCCTCACATGTCGGTCTTGTTGGTGGGTTTTGGAACACCACAGGGTTATTGGAGGCAGGCAAGATGCGCTCCGCTGCCCAGCTGATGAGGCAGCGCAAGTTGTACTGGCTAGCTCTCACAGAAACCCCCGCGAAGCAGCAAGATCAGTACTTGATTGATGGCTACACCTTCTCACATGGTGCTCATGAAGAATTTGATGAAGATGGGAAGTTGAAACAAACTTTTACAGGAGTTTCCTTGGTGACAGCTCCTCACATCACGCCTGCAGTCATTGAGATGACCATCCACAGTGGCAGATTGATGTCATTTACTTTGGACATGGTGGAAGCTCCTCTGACAGTGTATGCTGTCTATGCGCCTCATAACCACAGAGAACAAAAACTCAGAGATGATTCTGGGAGGTCCTCACAGTCAAAATACACAGCCGCAAAAGGCCATTTATCATTGTCGGTGATGTCAATGTGCAACTACTGGATGAGTTATCCTCAATTGAAGGGACAGTTGGTCCACAATTCCAGTGGGAGAAGACTCTGGAAGATGAGTCACAAGAAGCAGAGACAGCAGGAGACTCCACCCATGTCGAGTTCTCTGAGTTGAGCTTCCAGGAAGGCCTTTGTCTACCCCAAACCTGGATGCAGAAGGACTTCAACCAGCGCATCACCCGCGCAAGGCCTGGAGGAGGACAAGTCCAGCTAGATCACGCAGTGGTCCCAACGCAGTGGTAGGACATGGTCACAGATGTCTCCACAGTACAAGGATACGCGCGCAGGCAACCAAATGCAGGCGCCCTATGGAAGAGCAGGGGGACGCACGCCTTTAACAAGGAGGTCACACAAGCGCTGGGCACAACCTCTTCGACATCCTGCGCCGCCAGTTCGACGGACAACCGCCAAGCCCTCGCAGCGTCAGCTTGATGCTAGCTTGCGCTGACACAGAAGGCACCACCGCATTCCACTGGAAGCGGAGCAGCCAAAACAATCCTGGATCACGCGCAACACGTGAGCCCTGGTGCAGGACAGGGCAACAGCCCGTGAGAAAGGAGATATGAGGAAGCCCGCCTACGCAAGGAGGTGCAAAAGCCAGCCAAGCGCGACAAGACAGCGGCTGAAGGACAGGCTAGCGGAGAGTGAGCAAATCCGCACGGACCATAAACCACGCCCATTATCCATCCTGGGCAGGGATGGCAAGCCGACCAGCCGCTTTCTCACAGCCAATGGCCCCCTTTGCCCAACCCTAGCGCGTTGACGTCGGCCCATCCCCACACTCCGCAAGGCAGCCAAAACAAAGCTGCGGGCGTCGACGACATCCCCACAGAGGCCTGGCAGTGGTTACAGCCAAACAAGCGCCAGTACCTTTTGGACTTGTTCAATGACGCCGTCTCCTCGCAGACCATTCCACAGGGGTGGCAGACAGCCTTGGTAGTGGAGATCTACAAAGGCAAAGGGTCAATGGCAGACCCCAATAATCTTCGGCCAATTAGCCTGCGCTGCGTATAAACTCTTAGCCAGGATATTGCAGCAACGCCTGGAGAAATCTCTGGAGCCGTGTCTCCGCGACACACAACGCGGATTCAGGTCGGGACGATCAACGTCGCAGCCAATTCACGTTGTCAGAAGACTCTTGGAAAGAGCCGAGCGCACCGAAAGTTCGCTCTACGTTATTCTCCTAGACTGGAAGCAGGCCTTTGATAGAGTGAGCTCCAGGCACTAGAAGTGGCGCTTCGTCGGTACGGAGTTCCAAGCAACATCGTGAATCTGATCAGCAGCAAATATGCCTCACAGCTCTTCACTGTCAAGGCGGCAGGCAAGAACAGCGAGACCCTTGAGGCCAAGTCCGGGATAAGGCAAAGTTGCCCCCTCTCTTCCTACTTGTTCCTCATCCTCCACAGCATGGTCCTGCACGACGTTGACAAGCAGTTGCTAGAGCATGGAGGTCTCATGCCCTGGGTCCTCAGCCAACAGACACCGTTCTACAACCTGGCGTACGCTGACGATAGAGGCAAATCGCACGCACAGCCGAGAGAGCCGAACAGCTACTCGCAGTGGTGGAGACGGTGGCCTCACACTGTAATCTCCAGCTTTACTGGGAGAAGTCCGTGCTGCTCAAATCACAGGCCTCGCAGAACGACGTACACAACATGCACGGAAACAAGGTGAAGGAAGTGAGGCACGCGAAGTACCTTGGCGTATACCTTTCCAGAAACGGCACCACCAGAAAGGATGTCACAGAAAGGCTATGTAAGGCCAGGAAACACTTCAACACGCTGCATCACTTCTGGAAACATACCGGTTTCCCGCTGCAGTGGAAGTTGAGGATATATAACGCCGTGTTCGTCCCGATGATCGAGTACGGCATGGAATCAGCTGCCCTGACCCAGCCGGACCTCCACCGCATCGAAGCCTTTCACTCACGGAGCCCCCCCAAAATGCACAGGGTACCTGCAACCTTTTACACCAAGGTGCTCGCGCCAGAACAACCCACAACCACAAACAAGCAATTGCGCGAGCAATCCTCACAGCTCCCACTCACACACTACATACACAAGGCACAGCTGAAATTGTTTGGTCATGTGTTGAGAGCACCGGAGAATTTTTTGGAAAGGAACTGCTGTTTCACGAAATCTTTCTTATACAGGGGAAGAGTCGTCGTGTCTGGGATTAGGATGTGCAGGCTTAGAATACACTGGGCTGAACAGAGGCTGATGAACAGTGTGCCACGCAAGCTTGGCACTGGCTCTAAGACCTTCCTAACCCGCCCACACAGAGACACCCACAGTTCCTCTTTGTTTTTGACCAGCTTCACAGGTTAGAGGTCCACCATCCACCGTCAGTTTTGGAGTCGGCTAGTGGGGCTGCCTACGTGCAGGAAGTACCTCGAGCAGACCTGTTTTGTTGCATTTTCCCAGTGAGCTCACAGCAAGTTCACAGCATGACCGTAAGCTTTGAGTATTGATGCATACGGCTGCACAAAGAAGGTGTGCGCACAGGGTTTCCGAAAGCAAAGCATTTGTTTGCGCAGTTGGCCGCCGAAACCGCCCATCGTTCGATTCCGTGCCCAGTGTGAGCCCTGGCCTCAGAGCCAAAGAATTTGGAGGAAAGTCTCGAAGGGCAGCATCACTCAGCACAATGCACTTTCACCGTCAGACACCCTGCAATCGAGATGCCGCAAGTGTTGACAGTGTTGCCAAAGGTTCTCTGCCCAGTTCAAGGCCAGCCCATTGATTCAAGCGCTGCACTGAAATTGGTGCTGTGATGCCGCCAGGGGTGCGTAGCATGTTCCAGCTACCTTGCAGTAAGATGGATTGATTGGAGTTAAGAATTGCTCGGTCTTCTTGACAGGCCCCTGAAGCCAAAGAAGAGCGGCGCCGCTCTATCCAACAGGCGGCACCATGCAAGAGAATAATCTTAGCGGCAACCACAGGGCTTCGCTAGCTTTCGCTGGCAGGCTCAAGAGCGCAAGCAGCTAAAGGTCCAGGCTTCTGAGGTTATCCAGGCAGGTGCCTGCCCAATCGGAATTCCACGGCCCAAAACTTGCATCCTGTTTCCTACACATAGAATTGGCGCTCGAAACCACAGGACATGACATTGACTTGGATAAACATGTACTTCAAGCTGGACGTCGTTAACCCGCGGGACCTGACCGCTGAGACCTCAGGGGCCGTGAGCCGAATCGTGAGCATGGAAGTGAACACGTGATCAGCACGAAGGCTGGCTTTCCCATCATCATTCTAACGATGATGGATGTCATCTATCCGAAGAAGGTTCGATGGCACCAGGCAGCAGACTCAATGGAGCTGGGTCCGAAGAAGTTTTGCGTGTAAGAGGTCGATTGGAACGTGGCCTACCAGCGGGCAGGATACTTGGTGTCTTTTGCTCCTCACCGTCGCAGGGCCTGTAGGGAGTCATTGTATATTTGAAGGATAGTTTCCACAGTTAAGGGAGCATGACCCTGATCGAATTTATGCTCCAGGTTATCCTCACTGCTTTGCAATTCTGAGGCTTTGACTCATAATCACCGGGTGCTGGAGAAGCATTGGAACGAGGCCTCACCTGCTGAAAGCGGTGTATTTTGATGTTGCGCAATCTTGCCCGGCAGGTCAACATGGACAAGGTCAAGGACTGGGCGACTGGCTTCAGGCAGAAGAAGGGTTTTTTTGGTCGTGCTCATTCCCCGCAGGATCTGCGAAAAGATCGTATCGGCATGGTGATCGAGAGCACCTTAGAAGCATCGATAGAAGATGTGCATACCGGCGGGATTGAGCAGGGAGGGCCCAGATATGTGAAGGCGCTTTTGAACGTCTGCCTGTGTGAAACTGCCAATGCCAGAAGCTGCACTTCTTGAAGCAAGTGAAGCGCTGGTTTGATTGCCGGTGCAGATCTCACTTGTCGTCCTGCATGTAGGATCCCCTTGAGCAATGTCAGAAAATGACAGCACAGTCTCAGGGTGCAACACTCCGCGGCCTACGATCCCATCAAACGGCGGACCGAGGTTGAGAAGCAGCCTGTATCCAAGACCAATGGAAGCTCCTGACAGTTTTGTTGTCTTTGCTGCCACGAAGCCTTCATGGGTAAGGATTCGACTCACTGGCCGGCTGATGAAATTTCCTACATGGATGCAATACGACAAAGAGGCCATATGAGTTTGCAAGCTCTCACTTGCATCTTTCGCCCCCTTGCCTCAGGAAGTTCAAGCCAGCCGGTCGATCAAGCCAGACGCACACAAGCGCAGGCCAGAGGAAGGAAATCTAATACATCCAATCTCCAACACAGCTCCTCCGTCCTTGGCGAGGTCGCAAAAAACCGAGGCAACCACCGAGTATGAGAATATGCCAGAGCTGCAGCCTCAGCACTGGCCTGTTGCATGATTTAACAGATGGAGGGCTCTTTGTTGCGATTCCAGCCTCAGTGTCGACCAGACACATGCGCACCTGTCGTACTAGGGAGGTATGCTCCCATGCGCTTCCTTGTTGGTTGCGTGAAGCCTGTAGAAGAAGAGGAGTGGAGGGTGTAGGAACCATTAGGAATCATTGATTCCTGGAATGCTTGCCATCAGCGCTCCGGTCCTCATCAGCTGACCCGAGCACAGCAGGACACCCGCGTGCACAGCCTATAGAAGAAGCTGCGACAGCAGATCGATAGCAGAAGAAGCAGAACAAATTATTTGGAGAAAGCCAACGCTGTCAGGTTCAAGCGTCTCCTGTGGTTCTTGGGGTCGGAGCACCAGACAATGTGCCCTGGCAGCAGGGCGAGGCCCTTGACTAAGACCAATCCGTGCCAGCGAGTTGAAGGGTTTCAAGATCCTAGTGTTCCATCATGTTCATCCGCCATGAAGGTCAAGTGCAGAATTCATGGCAGGCAGGCATAACTTTCCCAAGCATATTTTGTGAGACATCAGGTGAGCCTGGTCAAAGCCTGGGGCAAAGCTGTGAGCACTGCTGTGTGCACTGCTTTAGGCTGGGCTTCAGGCTTAGGGTTTAGGGTTTTGGACCAGTTTGTGCCCAGGCAAGGAGGCTTCACTCGAAGCACACCTAGTTGGCGAACGCCTGTCTGTTTCACCCTTTGCCAGACCCTGGCAGCCTGAGAGGTGAATACCGCCTTTGGCAGAGAGAACGCAGCCCAAACCCAACCCATTTCATCCTATCCCTTGCAACTGTAGCTGGGTACACCAGCAACCAATCTTTTTGTTTTGGACAACCTAGGTGCGATGACCCTCCCTCAAGCTTGACCCGAAATTCCTGATTTTCAGGAAGCCAGTTCAGCGGTCAGCGCAACATGTTTCTAAATGTGCGAACCGTGTGCGTTGCTGTTCAGGACATTGAGAACCGTAGTCAGCCTGAAGAGTGCAAGATCGTGCAAGTATGACGATTCACGGGCAGGATTTTGCAAAAGTAAGAGTCTTCAAAATTGCTTTACTGCTTCGAGTTTTTTATTCACTTGTGACTCCCTGCGGTTTCGCCTCATGTTGGCTTTCGAGTTCTCCTCCCTTTGGGAAACCACAGGATATGCATGCTTGATTTACTAGTTGTTTGGTCGGGCACCAGTACAGTACTAGCCTGCATGCTTTATGTCTTGTTGATTCTACGGAGCATTCTTATTAAAGATTGAAGCATTTTGCTTGTTTTTGCTTTGTGCCACTTCGCCACTACACTCGATTTGGGCTGCAGCTGGGTGGCCACCTTTTCCCCGGGCCCTGAAGGCCTTCTTACTGATGGATTTTATCGATTGTAAAGTTTGTCTGCAGGGTAATCAAAGCAGGTCTGAAAGCTGCGCACGAGCATGCATGACGGCTTGCTTTGTGCCATGCCAATGTATTGCAAGTCTGCCTCGCCAATGCAGGCGGGAAAACAGGCGAAGAATGAAAGTGCTGGATAGTCGACGCCTAGCGGTTTCCCGTGAAGATGAGGAACAGGACTTTGGCAGTCTTGTTCCAGCAGCGTGGCGCAGCAGCTTGCTCTGAGGAGGGATCTTTGCTTCACCGGCGGACCTCTCTTCATGCGGAAGTTCCCCCCCCAAAGGCCACACTTGCGACTTGTAAGCCGGGACAGCGCATCTGACAACAGCTAGCAGCTAGCAGCATCTTGCAGATGAAAAAGACAGATGGGTCTAAACAAGCAACAGTGCTTGTGCCGACACAGTTTTGGTTTGTGGCTTCAGTCAACTCCACCACTTTCAGGAAGTGACGTTCTGGACGTATCGGTCAGCGGCCCTTGTCAGGAGCTTAGAGGATGTTTGCACAGATCCTCAGGCCGACCTAACCTCAACATTCTGCCAGGCAACCGTGCTTCTGAGCGGCCGGGCTGCAGATTGAGGGCACCTAGTAGGCCAGTGCAGTTAGTCACAAGCTCTGAGACAATGCAAATACACCCCTCATGACTTTCTCTGTTATACACGGCCGACGACTGGCGATTCTGGTTGTTTTGTGACAGGACATCAATGTAATCTTTGTTTGGCCGCGGGCAATATGAGTTAGCTCATGCAGGATGTGGAGATACAGAGAGCATGCACCATACAACTTGTGGTGAATTTCAACAATGCACCAACGCAAATGCCGAATCGCCTGGCCTTTCTCATGTTGCCCGGTAGGTGTTTTTCTCCTTGTCAGGTGTTGCCACCTTGTGTGCTGTGGGATTCCACGTGCGCGGATTGCGTCATGGCAAGCACCGATCTTCCTATGACAGCTGGCAGCACAAGGTTCCACACTCTAGTCACAAAGGTGTAGATGCTGCCCAAAGTTGTTCCATAAGTTGAAATCGTGCTAAATCAGGACACCCTAAATTTGCAAGCTCAGGAGAGACTCTACAAGTTCGGCGATCCCGCAGACCTTGCTCATTACAAGGAGTCCGTCTCTGGAATTTGCTCTAAGAGCTCTGAAAAGGACCACCTAAAGGCCAGCCTTCCAGAGCACGATCCAGTGGTGACTTTTCTTTGCTGCGTCTGAAAAACATGCTTGCTTTGTGTGCAGGTGATCCCGATAACGGAGCCTAGCGTGCGTCCGCGAGGAAGCATCTGCAAAAGCACCTCCGCCTCAAAATACGCAAAGCTAATCCATGAAGCCTTTGCTTTTGGATTCGTTCTGCATTTCTTTAGATTCTGCACTGTGGCTCAGGTGCTTCGCTGCAGCGTGATTTTCCTTGCAAGTTTACCAAGACTTGGTCCTGTCCATCTTTCGGCACAGTCGCCCAGGCCAGATGTGACAGCACTGGTTGTCCGTGTGATTGTCCGAGCATCGGACGTTGGCGTCAATAGCACTCTTTTTTTCTCCTTAGAAGATCCTAACAAGGTTTTTTGACACGAGGTGCTGTGTGGGTGGGTATATTGATGACCTTACGCGTGCACATGTGTTGCCGCTTACTAGTCAGACTGCTAGATTGGCAAGGCCAAAGGCATTGCCACGGACGACTCCTCTGTTTCGCGCTTGGTGCCACGTAGTGTTTAGAACTTTGCAGCCCTTGTTGATCGCGTTTCCGTAGGAGTGCATTGGCTTGCTACGACGTCTGATCATGCACCTGAATGCAACTCATGCAACTCGCACTAGGCCGCATTCCACTGCTGCTGCAACGTAGATCGACCCAGGCTGCCAGTGCAGGTGTTTAAGGCTTTGGAGTAGCTGAAGGCATTGACTTTGCCAGGCAGGTGACTTGGAGCCGGAGGCCTTTCGCACAAGACGACGATGCCCCACCTGCACCTCAGACGGTTCGAATCAAGGCTGAAGCTGAGCGTTTTCGATGTGCCTGGTGTATCTTCGTGTCACCTAGCCCAGAGGTCGTTACGTACAACCTGTACTGGTGGAACCTCTTCGGGATCCATAAAGGAAATGGTGGGACAGCTGGTGGAGTGATTGCCACAACGATGGTGTGCCCTGGTGCATCTGCATGTTTGCGCGACCTTGTCAAGCTCATAGCGGCATGCTGCTGCAATTCCAGTCCACTTCCCCAGCAGGTAGTAGACCGCTTGACAGCTCTTTGTGCTGCAAGCCAAGGCATGAGCCGGTAGATTTGATTGCATTTCAGGAATGCCGACCCTTGGATTTCAAGTGCCAGTACTCTATGAACATATGCGCGTTAATCTCAGTAGAAATACTATTCCAAATATATCCTTGGGGAACATGGCAGCAGTTCGGTCCCTGCAGATCCCTCAAGCCATGTGCTGCCGCAAACTGCTTGTCAAGGAGACAAGGATCGGGTGCTGCGCGATGCTGGTCTGCTGCACAGCCTGCTGGCACGAAAAAAGCAGGGCTTTGTGGAGCTTTGAGTTTTGGGGTCCACAGGTTGCCCCAAGGCTCCTGAAGTCGTGCAGAGCAACAGGCCTCTCAGCTAGGTCCCGTAGCTGCAGACTGATGCAAACACAGGCTTCAAGACGTTTGGTGCAAAGTATGACAAGTGCATCGCTCTCCGCAAGGCGCCTCTCCCGACAAGTTATCCTGGTTGTGTTGTGCTTTGTAGCATGACATGGCGCCGCATGTCAAAGACCAAAGATAATTGAACGCTAACGCGAGACCGCCTCGGCAAAGGTGCCCCCTCCCCCCTCCCCCCGCCTTCCCCCCTCTCCCCTTGCCCCCCCTCCCCCACTCTCCCCACCAGCGCGAATCCGCCACGGAGGCCAAGATGTCGCAACGCAAGTAAGTCTTACAAAGCAAGAAGAGTCTGGCAAGGCAGGCTTGGGCCTGAGGGGGTCTCATGGAAGTTCAGAGAACAAGTGCCAAGGGCTTTGATTTTTTAAAGAACCGGAGGGGAAGGGGGGAGAGGGGGTGAGCGATTCAATTTTGGGGTAGGGAGAGGGGGAGAAGGCTGAATCCAGGTCAGCTTGTTCGGCCAGAGGCCGAGGCGAAGTCTGTTAGCAACCTGTGCTGGATTGTCTCTTCCATCCTTTCGTGTCAGAAGCAGCAGCCTCTCCAACCTTGAATGCTTCTGACGAGGAAGCGTGGATTTGGATTCAACAAGGTGAGGAGGACGTTGTGGCCTGGGCTGCACCTTGAATAATCCGCAGGGCCCTAACCCTTCAGACATATAGCAGCATGTTGCTGAGCAGGCATTCCAGCTGCATATTATAGCCAATCACAGTTGAGACAAGGAAGACACCGTCAGCAAACAAGTAGCTAGACTTTCATGCGCTGCTTTTGGTTGCGCGCACGAATCTTATGCGGTTCCCTTCCTTCTGAGATCTACAAGTAGCGGTCCTTGCGGAAGCTGTGCATTTGAAAGTGCAAGACTTCAGATCCCAGGCTGCAGACGTGTACTGGCTGCTTGGTTGACACCTGGGATTGCCCTCGACTGTCACTGAAGCATCAGCTGCGAGGTCTGCGGACACTTCACCTGTCCATTGCCTGTCCATTGAATTCAGGAACAACTTTGGGCCTCGCGGAGTGGTTTGGGTTCGCCTGTGGCACAAAGCAAGTGGCCTACGTGTGACATGGCTGCGCATTTGAGCCATGATGTGGTATGTAGAGTTGCGCCCAATTCTTCAATGTGCAAATATTTTGTCTATCCGTGCACTAAACGGCATTCTGCTCTCATCAGTCGTTGATAATCCCTGAGGTGTTTTTCGCGAACCACCATGGCCCTCTTGCTGTGAACTCGGGTGGCACCTGCGGCGGACATCGCACTGCGCGAAACATTTTGAAGTGTCCTGGTGCAAATTTATGTCTTTCGAAAGAGAAGCATGATCTCGCGTCTGATCAGGGATTGAATCATATTGAATCTGTCCGTGCGTGTAGGGTCATTGACGAGAACAGCGAAGACGGCTGCTGACTTAGCAAACAGCTTTCATGATCTTCGTGTTCAGTTCAGATGGCGGCACGGATCTTCACCGCATTTGCTTCTACATATCTGCGGCAGACGGTCTAGGACGGCTGAGGGGCAGTACCTGTAGGTGACATCGTCATTTTAGTGGGGGACTTCAATGCCAACTCTGCTTCCCACACCATTCAGGACGCAGCTGAGCAGAATCATTTGCTCGGTTGATCATTGCGTACATGTTTTTGTTTGCATTGACTAGCACGACTCGCACGACTTGTTCTTTGCCTGGTAGGGTCGCAGGGATCTTCAGCTTCAGCTGAAATTGTCGCAGTGCCCTTGTTGATCTGGTGCTGGACCAACCTGCCCAAATGGCCTTCTTTTGCCAGGAGTTGCGCAGAAGCCTGGTCCATGTCCAAGCAGGCTAAGCCGCCACCACCTTCATCTTGAGAGACATTCCATCATGAGTCCTGTCTTGGAGGCCGTGTTCTTGGAGGCATTGATAGCACTTTCACCAACCTGGTTCCGTTCCATGGCTCCAAATCGCTTTCCTGCCTCAAATCTGGTCGTTGAAGCACCGAGAATGCACGCCCGAGGTCTACCGTGGCTGAAGTGCACGATCTCGGTTCTGGGGGTAGCGATCATCATGCGATGTCTGCGATTTTTGAGATCAACACTGGAGGTGAGTTCTGCTTGCCATCTAAAGCCTATCGTTCTCCGTTGTTGCAAGATCCGTCGGAAACCGACACGTTGCGCTTTCTCCATGGTGGCTGCCCTGCCTGCAGACTACCGACAGCCGAACGAGTTGCATCAGGAGCAATGTCGACATGTGATATATGTGATGCTAGCTCTTGTTTTTAGCTCGTCAGTCACTGTGCAGGAACCGCGCTACAGCGAGGAAATACTCTCAGGGTTTCCTGGCTAGAACGCTTGCCCCGCAAAAGCGCGGTGAACTTGAAAGAAGGTAATCCGCATGGGCTCAATGACGAGACATTGGAGCGCTTCCCCTGCCACCAACACCTGAAGAAGACATCCATAGTGGACCTTTCTGCATGAGCGCTGCCATCAAGCTCCTGCCTACAAAGCTGATCGCTTTTCCAAGGCTGCGAAAGGAGTTTCCCGAAGATGACTGGAACCACTTCTGGTGGCTGGGATTGGACAAGTATGACGAGTGAAGAGCTTTGCTTTAGGATCCCGATGTTGGTGCAGCACTGCCATCAAGGTGCGGTCTTCAACTTGCCGATGCAAGCTACAACCCTGTCGGCAGGGGCCTTAAGGGCTAAGGGAACATAGCCATACCGTACTTGTAAAGGGGGGGGACCTTCGTAGTGAGGATAGGCAGGGTGGTTACTTGCAGCGTTCATCCGCAATTGGCAGAAGAAGGGAAATCAACAAAGCCATGCTGTTTATGACATTCGCCAGACGCGCTGCCAAGTGTTGATGGGGCAAAAGATACAGGATGCCACTGCCATACTGCTGCTTTTATGAGACCATCACGAGAATCGGGGGGCCATTACCAGCTCATGTGATGTCTCAGGAGCAAGGATCAGCCGCAAGCAAAGAGTCACTATGAGACCACATGTCACTCAGTGTGAGGAGTCTGCATGAAGAAATCCTGCAAGCAGAGCCTTATTCGGCAAAGGGAGCCGCGCCAGAAAGAAGCATTGGTGGCAGCAGTAAAAGGAGCGTCCCTGTTCAACAAACAGGATCGGCGGCACAGCGAGATAGTAAGATAGCTTGTGCATTTGTTGAAGTGCAAGTCCTAGAGCTTCAAGCACCTCTGACATCACCTCGAAGGTAAGCATGCCGGATGGGTGGTAGACTGGAAGCCAGTTGCCGTGACGCAAGAAGTGGGTTCAAGCGTCACAATTTGCATACAAGTGCAGTGCTAATGTTGAGCTACAGGTTCCAACGCCGGACTGGTGCTGCAAGTGGTGTCAGCGAAACCAAACTTGTATAGCATTCCGCTTCGAAGGCGCGGTAGAGGTATCATGGTGTCATACATGCTCGGGTGCTTGTCAAGTTGCAACATCAAACTAGGGTTTGTGCCAAGTCTCCAGGAATCCCCGGCAACAATCATACCAAGCAGGATCCTCAGGGCATCCGGGGTCAATTTCGCTGGAGAAACGTCATGAGATCATGACATTCGTGGACGTGCGTTTTCAAACCGCCAGCAGCTGCGAGTGCCGCAACGAGGAGTGTCGCTACACAAAGCCTAGCTTGAGGTGTACGCTGATGTCTGCGTACGAGCTCGGTCCAAAGGACTACGGATGTTGCTTGCTTGTTTGTTTCTTGCTGTGACAGACTGATGCGTGGCTTGTGAACTGTGAGTTGTGCAGGACCCCACGCGCCCCTTCGTAGCTTCGGGTCTGGCTGCAGAAACGGCCATTCAGGAATCCGGAGTAAGCGTTGGAAGTGGGAGGGTGCGAGCAAGTCGATGTTTTTGGAAGGCTTGCGCCAGGGTGGTCTTAAGGCGCTTCATGACACGAGGGCGTGATCATTTCAGACGGGAGGGGTGATTAAGCCCAAAGTACATAGAACTTGCACTACTAGATCAGTGCACGAAATTGTGGAGTGGAAGGATTTTGAGGTGGGAGCAGATGGAATCCGATGAGTCAGCAGTTGTTTTGAGTGGGAGATTTCAGATGCAGTATCTTCGGCAGGGATTGCAGAGTGCGCCCTGCTTGTCTGGCCAGTCCGTGGAGCACAGCTTTCGTGCAGACAGCAGAGTGGCCACGCCTTGAGGCGAGTTTGGATCTCTGGCAATTTTGCACCCAGAGAGTTGGCAGCAATGACTCTTGAGTCAGTTGAGGCTCAGGAGAGTTTGGAGACGTCCAGAATGCTGAGCTACGCTCCGAGCAGCCGCGATTTTTCTTGGGCAATTAAGGCACCCATCTCTTTGGTTTTGAATTAGTCTTGCTTCTGAGCTAGGAAGCAGTACGCTGCAGCAGGCTTCACAAAGTGTGAGCTTGCATGCGAGCCCACCAATCAAAGACAACCATGCATCGTCCAAGGCGACGCATAATCTTGGTTGGGGGTGTTGTGGCAGCATTGCGCAGAATCTTGAAATGGGGTCGCTTGCAAAGCACTGGCTCCCATGGAGGAAGGATGCGTGGCTGTCAGTCACAAGGAAAGTGAGAATGTTTCTGATGACTGGCAGGCTCAACCAGCCTCCGAGTTAAGTCATTTGTTAAGTTGCGTACACCCTGGTGAGGCGCAGTAGCAGTCTAAGCATAATAACTAGTCAGCTCTGTTTGCAGTATGTCTGCAGCCTTCGGGGGGTGTATGTTTAGCGCGGGCAGGTAGACAGCAGTTTCTGTGGCAGGAGATTCTGCAGACCAGTGTTCCTCCAAGCAAGACCATATGTATCAGCTGCAGACATCAATAGTCGTAAATGCATCCATATTTCAAAGCTGGTGCGAGGGCGTAATTGCAGAATCTCTGGACTCGAATTTGCTTAGTGGCTGGCATGTTGAGTGGCAGCACTGCCAGGCTATTGCTTCGCCCTGGGAAAAATGGTAGATGAGGAGCAATGATGTAATCTCTGCTGTGCCATGCCTGGTCTGTGCGCATGCCTCGCCTGCATTGCCGTTGCCGGTCTGGCTGACAGGAATGCTCATGAGACAGCCAGTACCGAAAAACAAACATTGAACATACTCACCAACATTCTGTAGTTATTTGACTTGGGGCTTGGCTCACGCAACCATTGTGTGAATGCCTTACAAGGATGGCGTCTGCAGCCAGGCAGGGGAATGGCTCGGCCCTGCGGTTGCCGCATGTTGCCTGTGTGTGTGTGTGTTTTTTTTTGCTTGTGGAGGCGATGGCTCTTGCCAACGAGCAGCCAAGGTTTGCTGCACCCTCATCCCAGCCCCGTGCTCAGGCTGTTTCATGCGCAGCGACGTGAAAAAAGTCTGATGCAGTGAGGCTGCTGGTGCTGCATTCGCTGCGCAAGCGCTTCAGAAAGCCGATGTTGTGACGCTGCGACTGTCATTGTTAGAATCAGAGCAAGGACGTGCTTCCACAAAGGCAGCATTTCTGGAGGCGCGACTGTCTAGCATGCAGAGTCTGCGCCACTGACATCTCAACTGAGTCTTAAGCCCTGTTTTTTGAAGCCTTTGCAATCTGTCAAGCACGGTGCTTGAGAAGCGCCACGGCTGCTCAGCTTGGATACCACTGGTCAGGTGACACCTCTTACGCTGAAGTTGCGCAGCTCGTGGCGGCTTCAGCATCGGGTGGCTTCGACAGTTCGGGCACTGCGACAGTTGTCTTCTTGCTGAGGTTCAAGAGGTTGACGGCAGAAGAGAGGGAAGAGCTGGAGGACATGAAGACCTCCCGATTCGAGCGTGAGGAGGCAGCTTTCACGTCGAGGAGCAAGATGCAGACCTCAAGGTCTGGACTTGTGTGTTACAGGAGAGGCGCGATGAGCACAAGGCAGGCAGCGGGGCCGACGGTGACAACGGCCCAGCCATGCCTCTTCCGGGGTGGCTTGGATGTGATCTCAATACATGAAACAAACATTTTCAATGCATGAAACAGACATGACTTGTAGACGGAGGTGTTTACATGTATCAGCTTCTGGGAACAAGACAATATGTGGGCGGGTATTACGTGCCGTCTTTAATGCATGACGCATGTCTTCCTTTGCAGCTTTAGTATTTCCACGTGACACTTGCAAAAGACTGAAAAACGGAATCGTCATGAGGACAACGGATGCGAGCAAGCTTCCAAGTGATTGAAGGGAAGAGGTCAAGATGGTCAAGTGTCCAGATAGCATCAAACACACATGCACCTCTTCAGCATGGGCAGGGCTGGCTCGAGCGAAAACTACTTCTCGCGTTGTTGACAGAGCAGTTTTTGGATGCTGTTATTGATGTAATCCATATCGAAACTCCCCAAATGCCCTTCTGCAGCGCAAGCGTTTTCTACATATTGAAAGAGATGTTTGCATCGGACGGTGAAGGACTCATAATAAGCAGTGCTATGTTGGAAGCTCAGGTTTCTAACCTCAGTGCCAGGCACGCCTCAGCAAAGTTGACCATTTCTCTAGCGCTGCGTGTCCACCCATTGCTCTGGTTGTCTTGCCCGACCGCTTGCGTGTAGAGACCTTTGGACCAGGTGTCAGCAGTGTGGCAAGCAGCTCGTACGTTCTAAGCGCGTACGAGCCCCTCCCTTAGGTTGTCGCAAGACTGAAGCCAGTTGATGAGGTTGAAAAAACAGCTTTTGAGCAGGTATGCCAAAGAAAACCCAATGATGACAGCCTGGACCGTCGCTCGGCTTTGCGACGAACAAACTCTGGCAGAAGTTTCTGACGCGTGAAGGTTGAATAAAACAGAAGATCAATCTCATTTGCAATGCAGGTCGGAACGGCTGCCTTCAGCGCAGCAGCAAGTGCATTCAGGCCACTGCTGAACAGCAGCCACCAGAAGCCCATGAGGAGGCATTTCTTACAATGCTTTTCAAGCTTCTTCGCAGGACAGTCTACGAGTACTTCTACCCACCGCAGGACCTGATGGCCAAGCCTTAGATGCATATATGTGCTGCTGGTCTGCTCACATTCCCCAGGATGCGGGTTGGCTGGGTGGCTGGGATGGCGGCCTTCTGAGTGGCGGTGCAGCGGTGCAAAGCCTCAGTCGTCTACATTAGTGATGCGCAAGCTGGTGCGATCCATGGCCAGCTGGAGGCTGCTGGTGGCTGGTTTGGAAGCACAGCTGCGGTTTCACCGGCCTGCCTGAAAGTCCATCAAGATTGGCTGACGCAGGTTAGCGCGAAATTCCTGTTTGTCTGCCTTGCTTTGCCAGTCTTCTTCCAGCAGCTGGTTTGGCGGTGGCGGTGCTGCGCCTGCCTCCAGCAGTTGGTTTGGTGGCGGTGCTGCTGCCAGCAGCGATGCAAGTGTCGGGGCCTCGTGAGGTGCCTCTGTCTTGTAGTCGCTTGTGGGAATCGGCTCTGATCCAGGCTTCGAGTAGTTGGTTTGGCTTTGGTGGAGCTGCAAGCTCTGCGGCCCCAGCTGCTGCAGCCGGGGGTGCTGCCGCCGGTGGCTGGTTTGGTGGGCTATTTGGAGGAGGTGACGATGGCACACTCAATCTTGTAGCGTAGCAAATTGCCAGCGAAGTTGCATGTATGCAGGGTCATCTGGCGGAGATGACAAGGCGCAGGCACGGGATTGGCATTGGCATTGCAGTTTGGGATTCCAAGTGCTCTTCTTCTGTCAATATCCACAGTTTGATGCTGGATTTGCCCAAGCTGTCCGATTCCATCTGGGCTCCAAAGCATTCAATATGCCGTAATGCTGGTGGTCACGCTGCACTGCGGTGCTGCATACTCGCTGTCTGAGAACTGTAGGTACCGCCTTTGTGTAACAAAGTTGTGTTGACATCACGCACCTATGCACTGGCCACGGTCGACTGTAGATCTCCTTGTCTGGGGTGCGATGCATGCGCTGCCGTTTGAGCTCAAACATGCAGGCCAATCAGCAAAATGGGCCATCATGAACATGACTTCATCGTAGTAGCCAACGGTGGCTTGAATCTTGACGTAGCAAAGAGACGAGCAAGGCCGGTTCTGCTCCCCAAATCGCTTGGTCTGGGTGCAGAAGGATCTAGTGGCAAGAGTCAGCTTCTAGAGAACATAGGAGTTTGGCTGACTAGGGGACATTGAAGCATGCAGCCCTCACGGGGTCTGTTCGGCACGGTGCCTGAAGACGGGATCCTGCGCGGCCGCGGCTTGGCTGCGAGATGAGTGTATTTCAAGATCATTTGCCTCGTGGACATGCGATATCTTGCGATCATTCAGGTGTCGGCGCAGGCCGGTGGCTGCTGCAAGCATGTTTCGTTGGGATCTGCGTGGCTCGGCAACAGCTTTTGCAGGGACAAGAACATGGGGTGGAACACAGCTTGGCATAATGCAGAGTGGATTTTGCAGCTTTACGATTCACGCATTCATGATTTATGCGCTGCTACATCAAATCAAGGCACTCACGGTGTCCGTCTTGCTCTTAGCTTCTGCGAGAGAACCGCTCATCATCGTTTGGAGAGCAAAGCAGAATGCGGAAGCTGCGGAAGAGACACAAACCTGCAAGCTCATTGAGGTTGTAGTCCTCATCTTGCTTCTCAGTGAATCTCTCGTGCTCTTCATTGTGACGCTATCCGTTTCCGGGTTCCTGTTCGCAAGCATGCCCCTTGTCTTCTGCCAGCAGATCTGCCTGAATGCTTCTTGGTCTGCCGGGAATTGGTGCCCTTCTGTAGCTTCCTGCGCTGATCCAGGAAATTTTGCCTGCGCCCTTGGGCATGGCTAGGCCGGACACTTCATGCGGTGCTTGCTGGAGTCTGGCGTTGACCCTAGCTTTTGCTGTCGTTGCACAGGAATGGATTCCCACATGCCTATCCTCTTTGACCTTCAAACTTCCGGGCTGGAGGTGTGGTCATTTTTCCTGTGTGCTAGGTGCAGAAGCACTCTGGCCTTGAGCAGCATACAACAATTGTAATTAGCAGCAAGACACATTCTCAATGCATAGATCAGCCGTCCGATAAGTTCAGAGTTCTCGAAAGGTGGGCACCTGGGACTACTGCTTCCTGCGTCGGAAGAGCTGGCCTGCCACCACGCTCAGGGACTTGCCACCCGGCACGGTGAATGAAGATCAATCGGAGAATGCGCGCTCTTTAGCCTAAGGCGAGTCTACAAAGAGGCGGTGGACTCTTTAGGAGAGAGCGGAGACTCCGAGCCAGTGCCCATCTCCAGCAGCGAGAAGGCCAGCGAGAAGCTTCCCTGTTCGTAATGCAAACGTCAACTATCTTTACACTTGGGCACTCCGCCCGCATTTGCCCACCTATCAACTGCTGGTTGAGCTTAGAGGTGTCTGCGGAACTCCCGCACTGCTGTGACGCCACCAAGGCCATGGCTGCAACCTGCGACAGCCGTGCAACAATCAACTGGTGCAAAGTATTTGAACAGCCAAGCTGCTGAGGGAAGCTTTTAACTGATCCAGACACAGTAAGTCTTGTCTAGCCTAGTTGCCTAGAGCCTGGCTCTCTGGTTCCAGAGGCATGCTTCGGCTCCTGCTGGAGATCATGCTGCTCAACCGGCGCTCTGGATGCACTCTCCAGCGTGCAAGACATAGTAGGTTTGAAGCTTCAAACTTGACATAGGCTGAAGCATGCTAGAGAGTTTGGCTCAGCTCGGCAGCTAGAGACTTGTAATCGCCTTGCGATACTCTTGCGGGGTGGATGGTGCTGCGCAGCATAAAAGCGGGCTTGCATTTCTCAGGCTCTGGTGGCTTCCTGGTCGCCGGAGTGTTTCTCGGGGCCAAAGTGGATAGCAAAGTGGTGCGCCTTACGCGGGACGCAGGGCTCTTGGACCAGTGAGTGTGCGAGGTTGTTGCATTGCTATGTTGTGAATCATGAAGTGCGAGTTCGTGCTGATAAATGCCGCAAAACTCGTTTCCTGCAGGCACTTCTGAGGCTGCTAGACATTGCCAAAGCTGTGTGCTGTGCCATGGTCGAGGTCTGGACACTGAAGGAAGTGGACAGTTTGCTGATGCTGGCGCAGCGGGGCCGCCAACTGCTGGGCCTGCCTGAGCAGGCCGCTTGCTCTCAGCTGTGATAGGGTTCACAGGGGTTCCCACGATGGGCATCGCGGTCTGTGGGTTGTTCCTGGAAAGTGTCTCGCAGGCACCGCTGGATCTGGAAAGCGCAGACGTCCAGGCTGCTGCCTACCTTTGGCAGTCATCGAGAGTTTCTCCGAGTAATTCCTTGCATTACTCTTGCCTAAGAGATCTGCTTTCATGAAGGTCATGGCCAGTTGACGCGAAAGCGTTCAATGTCAGTGCTTTCTGGAAGCTTGAACTGTGGGCTGGTGGCCGCCAGGTTGTGGATGTTGAGTGCATTGCGTGTGTGATGGGCAAGGAGGACAAGTTGACAATTGCAGTTAGATGTGACCAGGGTGATGAAGCCGTGACTGAAGCGCTTGCTTTCACAGCAGACATGGGTAAGCTTTACAAACAGGCAGGAATGTCTCACCTGAGTGCAGCTGCAGCTTTCTGTTGCGGATATCCTATGTCACTGCGGTTCGGCTTAGGCTGGGAATTCCCGTTTTTGGTGTACTCCCGCGAGAGCGTGTGTTTATGTGTTTTGCTAGGCACCTCGTCAAGTTGATGGATTGCAAATTAGAGTCGTCTAAGTTTTGTGTTCATGCTATCTTGTTCAAAATACTGGGCGTTTTTACTGCAGGTGGCCCTAACCCCGAAGCCTCAACATGGCAGTGCGAACGTGCAGGAGGGCCTGCCAACCATACGCGAGGACTAGCTACAGCCTGCCAGCCATTATTGTGTAATATTAGGGTTATATTGGGACAATGGAAAAGAAAACGGAAACCACTATAAAACAAACGGGTATATATTGTGTGAGAGAAAGAGAGAGAGCCGAGTGGTGCTGTTCCAGAAGACAGTTCCCGGCACTTCCGATCGATTCAGCGACTTTTCTTGATCAAGTGCTCTAGGACACGATTCTCCGGGATTCTACGGAGCCATCAGTGTTGCCAATGTTCTCCAAGGACGGCAGTGCTGATTGTACAAGCGGAAAGCGCTAAATCCTGTTCCCCGAAGTCAGGCAACACTGCCAGCTGTGAATGTTTCCAGGATGTGCGCTCTGCTTCAGACATGACATGTTGAATGTTGTGTGTACCAGTTGGAGGGAAACAAGCAAGTTGTCCCGCAGCCAGTAATCGTGCAGCGATGCATTCTCGTGTGATCTATTCCTCAGGAGACCTCTGAAGTTGCAGATGAGAGGTGTGCACCTACCGCAACCTTGCCGCAGTGGAAGTGGTGTTTTGGATTGGGTGTGCCCTCGCCTAGAAGTGAGCTTGACTTCCCTGACCTGTCTCAGGTGCGGTCCGGTGTGCTGGCACCGCGTCCAAAAATGAAATCGCAATCCCAGGCAGCTGATGTACTGGAAAGCTTTTCTTTCTGAGCAACCGTCCCTGGGACAGGCAAAGGTACAAGACCTCCTGGCAGTTTAGGGTGACGTCGGTGTCTCAGCTGGTTTGCCAGGACTGGCATGTGTCGAGCAACTTGGTGCTGAGCTTGACAGGCTGATTCGACACCTGGGCTTCCTGACAAATTTGAACACCACCTGCCTTTTGAAGGGCCACGCTCCCCGGACGGTCAGAGATACTGCCGGGCTGTGCGAAAGGGCTCGTGATTTGCTACCTCTTCACAACCAACTTCAGCAATCTGTGTCGTGTTGTGCTCCTGTTGAATCATGAGCTGGGTGGGCATGCGAGCAGGTCGCCGGATTGAGGTACAGTCTCGCGTTAACTTAGTGCATGCTGTCCCGCAGTCGACTCACATGTGGTCGACCCGCCTTCTGGTCGTACCGTGTGCAATTTGATGCCGTCCAGACTTGCCGCCGATGTAGCCACCCGCAAATACCGTGATTTCACGGAACGCTAGTCCAAAGATGATGTATAATGTAATCCCTCGTGGTCTCATTCTGGATGGAGGTAAACCAACACCCACACAAGAAATTCACTGCCATCCTTTTGGCCGATGCCCTTCGCCGCAGCTCCAAGAGCGTTCTGTAAAGCGAGGAACTTGCAATTTGACGGCTGCGGTGACCTCCTTTAAGGTTTAAGGCTAAGCGCATCCTGAGAGCTTGCACGCGGGCAAAGCTCGCAGTGCGAGAGGACTGGACGTTGCAGCTTGACTTCATCTTTTCTTTCATCATGGTACAGGCTTTCTCAGTAATGCTCATCGAGGGGCCCAGAAGACGTCCAAGCCATGCGGCGAAATGTCGTTGTTGTCATGGGCTGCATGAAGCAGTTTGGTGACGGCCACGATTGCAAGGTCGATTCATCGGATCTTCATTGGCTTATCTCCCGGTTGGCTATCGGGAGACTCTCTGTACTGGGTGACACTGGAGATCAGTAGATGTTGAGACCTTGTGTATCCATGAGTTCGCATTCAGCCTCCTTTGCACAGCAGCCCTGCCCAGCAATGTTGAGCAGCGGCTGTAGACCGTCATAATTGAAGGGCTGACGTCGTCCTCAACAATCGTTCAGCTTTCCTTTGTTTTTGCTTTGAGCAGTATTGGGATCAGCCCTTGAATGTGAATGTGTACCGTTTTATTTCCCACTTCGTGGCTTAAGGAATTGTCGTATTTAAGAGGCCGCCTCGCTGTTGCAAGTCAATGTCGTTCTGCAAAGACGTAAGAGATCTGCTTGTCAGGGCAGCCGCTCTGCTGAGGGTGCAGCAGATGCTGCTGGGGAGGAAGGCTCGACGTGAGTTGTTTGGGACCAGGCTGCAAGCGGTGAATCCCGCCAGGTGGCTTCGACTTGGAAGGAGAGCTTGACATGGACCTGGGCATGGGTGGAGATGACGACGGGGAGGATAGGGAATGCTAGATGATCCGCTGCTTCATACTTGGCATCCACTGAATCCTTGCCAGGAGGGCTGTGAGCAGCAGTGAGCAGCCTTGCCATGCCGTTCTGGTCTTCATGTGTTCTATAGATTCTATAGATCTGCAGTGCGCGGTGCTGCCCGCACTGGCTGTACATATGTGGAGGCACTGGCTGCGAGAACAACTTGCAGCTCTGGATAGCTCGGGTAGCATGCAAAATGGTCGCATCCAGTACGTAATGTAATGCATCCGACGTCTGCAAGGCATCAAGTGAACCTGGCAAACCGCAGCACGCCCACGATCCCAAGCCACGAGGATTATCAGCCACAAAGCGCTGTTAGGGGAGGGGGAGAAGCCGGGGCCTCCCTTGAATCGACCATGACCGCGGCAGGCCAGGCCATGGTGGCCTCCAGCTCAGTTGCTTAGCCGAGATTTTCTGTTTGCTCTTGTTTTCTTCTGCTCAGGTCCTAGTGCCCATTCGGCCGAAGTCCGCCATGACATTCATAAATGCTACGGACTCAGGTGCCGATAGCAGTTTATAGAGGCAACAACACTCAAGACGCGGGTCGCGATACTTACTTGAATCTTGGTTCTTCAGTAGCAAAACCCGACCCCTTTTTTTAAAAAGCAAGGTCGGAGAGCAACCATCTGTGCAACCGAGGATAAGGACGCAGAGCTGATGGGCCTTGTTGACGAGGAAAAGGAGCGACTGGTACGGCTCCCAGATTAAGTGCAGATGTAGCATCACCCAAAAAGCTGCACACGCTAGCATCGCATTCAGCAATGGATTCTTTCCTCAGGGGAGCCTACATACAACCCTGTAAGATGCTGCGCGCAAACTCCATGAACCGAAGGCACAGGTCGACAAGGACAAGCAGAAGGAGGCGCAACTCAAGGCCAGGACTCTCGTTTTCACCATTTTTCAAAGGTTTCAACGGGTCGCGATGCAGCGGCACCAGTCTCTGCTGGGGCCCGCGTCATGACACAGGCCTCTGACCTAGCGGACCTCCGCGCAGCGAGAAAGGAAAGGGACCTTCGACTTTCGATCTTGACGCTTCTGACGGCTTACCTTTGGGCTTGAAGTGAAGGAGCTGAAGCGGTCACGCCAGGAGGAGGAGCGAGCGCGAAAGGAGGTATCTGCCCGCTTTCAACTCAGAATCAAGCTAAATTTCTTTGACTTCGCAGGCTTTACTGAAGCCGGGCAAGCCCGAGAAGGGGGCACCTGCGATTCCAAGCTTTATGCTACTTGCTGGCATCTGCGCATGGGGTCTTTCTTTTGTTTTTCCTTGGAAAGGTTGTCATTCAGCCGCGATCTAATGAACCGAAGAAGATATGCTGCAGGAAGGTCAAAGCAGCCAAAGCGACGGATGCAGAAAAGGCTCCGGAAGGCAGACACTGCAGCCAACCCCAAAGCTTGCATTTTCGGATCTGTGGTTGAGCAGGTGACGAGGGTACTAGAGAACCGGATGCAAAGCTTGCCAGAATAGAGGCCCCCGTCGCTCAGCCCTTGATCTGGGACAGAGCTTGCCATGAAGTCTGGCGAAGGCAGCGGCCGAAGCTCCCTGCGCCCCGTCTGGCCTTGGGGGCTTGGGTAGCTATGCGTCTTCGCCTCAGTTTTTCCTGATGTGGTCTTCTCACAGTTCCTGGACATGCACAGGTCTGACAGTGAAGAGGAGGCAGAGTCCAGTGAGGACTAGGTAGCCTGCTTGACTTGTAGCAGCCCTTGCAAACAAGCAATCAAGTCGCAGCGCGTTCCCAGCTTCATTGCAGCCTGTGAAGCTGGGCTGCCTCGAGTAATGCGCAGGCAGAGGTCTCACCAGTGTCACCCCGCACATTATGTCCGAAGAGAGCAGCTTATGAAGACTGCAAGCTCACCTAGGACAGGCAGCGTGAGACAAGTCCGCGTGCGACGCGAGCAGTTAAAGATGTGCCGGGAGCAGATAGCATGCCAAGCATGCCTCAAAGTTGAATTGTCATCAACAGCACGAGGCTCAGTCAAGGCTGGCA